CCTGTACTGTGTCCGCAGTCCTGGTCATCCCTGTACTGTGTCCGCAGTCCCGGTCATCCCCTGTACTGTGTCCGCAGTCCCTGGTCATCCCCTGTACTGTGTCCGCAGTCCCGGTCATCCCTGTACTGTGTCCGCAGTCCTCTGGTCATCCCTGTACTGTGTCCGCAGTCTCTGGTCATCCCTGTACTGTGTCCCGCAGTCTCTGGTTCATCCCTGTACTGTTAATTAGTTTGCACTACTGTACAAGTTGTTTTTTCTAAACCAAAAGCTCGATATTCAGGTTTCATTGCAGTGTTGGCACTTTGAAAGAAATAAGTTGGTTTTGGGTTGCAGTTTGGGCACTTGGGCTCAAAAAGGTTCGCCATCACTGTGATAGACCAACACAAAGTGGCACATAATTGTGAAAAAGCTATGTGTGGCGGAATCCAATTTCTTGGATTCTATTTTATACCCATCAGTATATATAGTATATATATATATATAAAATCAAAGAAAACCTGACAAGATTGCAGCTTGGAGGCCATCATTGCTGTACTACTTCCGTACTTGAGTCACCAACCTGTGAAGAGGAGATAAAAAAAAAAAAAAAGCAGACAATGACTTCTGACTTGCCTGCTTTAAAAAAAACTGGTTCCAGTCATTACTGTCAAAGCCAGATACATTTAGTGCTCCTAAAACTGCAAGATTTTACAGGTTATACTACCCCTCTAAGATTCTGTTTCACCTCAAGAAGTTACCAGATGCACTTCACAAGAGCTAAAAAGGTACATCCAGGCACCCTTGGATTCCTGCGCCATATGCATGAATTAATTTTCATGGCAGGATTTTATTTATTTATTTATTTTTATTTTTTATGTATAAAAAAGGGAGTCCTAGAAAAAAAAGCCTAATACTCAAATAACAGATATCAAATGTTGTGTAACTGAATGATACCCAAAAACACTAGAAAGAGGCGGCTACATTAAGAAAGCTTCAATTATCGCAAGAAAAAACAAGTATAGAAAAAGAAAAAAGGTTTGCCTTTCCAAAAATAATTCCAATGGCCAGAATTTGCCCCCATTGGCTAAGAAGGAAAACCGCCATGTTCCCAGAGATTCTTGGATAATGCGTGGAAGCCACATCAAATCTTTGACAAATTATATCCAAATTCTTAAGGATACTCTTTGGTATAGATACCTTTACATAATAAAATAAAAAAAAAAAAAAAGCAACAATGGACTTGTGAGATAAGAATTCCAGCTTACTCACACATAAAATCCAGCAATGTATAGATAGGCTGCTGCAGACAGGTATGTCTCTTGTGAATTATTTTTAAGCTGCAAGCAACAGAGTTTCTCATAAATATGAACACCTGACTGTAGAAGGTTGATGGATACATAGAGAAATGGCAGATTCCCAACTCTGAGCGCGAGTCTCAGTATAGGCATTGGCATTATTGAGCTTGTTGATCACAATCTTCACTCTGCACTGATATGCCATTTATCACCTTTACCTGTATACATTCCACAGGATCTAGATCTTAACCATGACAGCCTCTGCAACGTACCCATACAGCATCAAGTTGAAGGGGATATACTGGAATGATGCCTGCAGCTACGTGCATCATTCATTTTTTTTTTTTTTTTTTTTTAATTAGACAGCAATGTGCTTTAACCACTTGCCCTACCCCCTTCATGATCAGGCAATTTTTGGCGATATGGCACTGCGTTATTTTACCTAACGGTTGCAGTCATGCAGCACTGCACCCAAATAAAATTTGTCATTTTTTCCCCCCACAAATAGAGATTTCTTTTGGTGGTATTTGATCACCAGTACATTTTTTTGTGCTATAAACAAAAAAAAAATATATATATAAATATATATTTATAGCCCCCCCCCCCATTTCTGCTATAAAACATATCCATAAAAAAAAAACAAAAAACACATTTCTTTATAGATTTAGGCCGGTATGTATTTCTGCTACATATTTTTGGTAAAAAAAAACAACCCCCCAAAAATCCCAATAAATGTGTATTGATTGGTTTGCACAATACTTATAGCGCCTACATACTATGTATACTATATACAGTGGAAATCTTATTTATTTTTTTTAAATGCTAGTAATGGCAGCAATCAGCAATTTATAGCAGGACTGCGATATTGCGACAATCTGACACTTTCTGGGAACTAGTGACACTAATACAGTGAACAGTGCTAAAAATATACACTGTCACTGCATTGACAACACTGCCATGGATGTGGTTAAACATCTAGGGCAGTGGTTCTCAACCTTTCTAATGCCGCGACCCCTTAATACAGTTCCTCATGTTGTGGTGACCCCCCAACCATAAAATTATTTTCGTTGCTACTTCATAACTGTAATTTTGCAGTGGGAGGACTAGCGCCCCATCGTGGGCGTCAGTGGGGGGAGGAACAGCGCCCCATCGTGGGCGTCAGTGGGGGGAGGAACAGCGCCCCATCGTGGGCGTCAGTGGGGGGAGGAACAGCGCCCCATCGTGGGCGTCAGTGGGGGGGAGGAACAGCGCCCCATCGTGGGCGTCAGTGGGGGGAGGAACAGTGCCCCATCTTTGGTATTAGTGACACAAATGATGGGGCACTATCCCTTCCACTGACACCAATGATACTTACCTTGCTGACTCCTGCTCCAGCCTGGCTCGCTCGCTCTCCTCTCCCATCTACAGGCAGCATACCTGGCTGCAGCAGCAAAATTTGCACTTACCTGTCAGCCGTCTTCCTTCTCTGGCCTCTCTTCACTCGCTCCTGCAGCTCCCTCGATCTTCTTCGATCTCCGCGCGCTGCCGCTCGGCTCCTCCTCTCCAAGCTCCACCTCCTCGCCGGTGATTGCCCGCCTGTGTGCCTCTCCTGAGCTACAGTTCCGGTGGCCAATCAGCGGCGAGGAGGCGGAGCTGTTGAGTGATCCCGAAGGTGTGGCCAGGTTACAGGGGCAGCATATCATCCCGCCCACAGATCGCCTGAGACAGGAGCGGTGTCTCGGTTTCCCAAGACCATCGGAAATATGTGTTTTCCGATGGTCTTAGGCGACCCCTGTGAAATGGTCGTTCGACCCCCAAAGGGGTCGCGACCCCCAGGTTGAGAACCGCTGATCTAGGGCTATCAAAGGATTAACTGTGTGCCTAGCCAGTGCTTTGTGTACACAGTAATGTGATTTTACTAGACAATCCCCTAGATTTTCTTTCCCTGAAATAAAATCTAACAGATCTCCAACGATAGGCAGTGCTGTGTCCTGTCACTCAACCACTGGCCAACACCTATTGATCGGCTTCTGGTGGGGTAGGTGTGTGTGTGTGTACACATGTGATTTTGCACAGAACAGTCACCCTGTAGCAGTAAATCTGCTATAGGGCAGTCTTGAACTGGTTAATGTATCAGCAGCCCTAGCGGCTGATTAGCTGGTGGCTATCCCCCTTCTATCTATCTATCTATCTATATATATATATATACATACACACAATATACACTAAAATATTTTATTTATAGGTATTTGGAGCAGTGACGGGGTCCTCTTTATGGAGACCTAAACTATCTACTGGCCCCAAATCTCTCCTCTGCCCTTTAAAGGATCAGATCAAACCCAGATGTTTGATCTGATGAGTTTCACAAGCCAGTAATGGCCTAACTACATCCTGGTGAAAAAAGTATTATTATTATACAGGATTTATATAGCACCGACGGTTTGCTCAGCACTTTACACTACAGTGGGAGACAATACAGCAACAATACAGTTCAATACAAGAGGGATTTGAGGGCCCTGCTCCTTGGAGCTTACAATCTAGCAGTAGTGACAAAATACTCATTGCTTCCAGTTTCTTAGACCATAGAGATGATTGGAGACGTACCGGTCCTTGGTCATCTCTGTGGTCAGCCAGCGGAAACACCGCCTTCAGTCCTGGGCTCCCTCGTGGGATGGGAGAGCCTGGGAAGGCGGAAGGGGGGATTGCTGCCAGTTAATCAGCCACTAGGGTTGCTTTTACGTTAACCAGTTCAAGACCGCCCTATAGGAGATTTACTGCTACAGGGTGACTGTTCTGTGCAGAAGCACGTGTGCGTATATAAAACAAGAACCCTACTACAGGTACATAAAACAAATCTATACATACTGTATGTGGTATCGCTTCTATAGCCAGAAGTTGGAGAACTTATTTTGGGTTGTTTTTTTGGTGGCAAGTTATAGATTGTAAGCTCTAACAGGGCCCTCGGATTCCTCCTGTATTTGTATTGTGACGGTACAGTTCATCCTCACATTGTGAAATGCTGTGCAAATGGTTGGCGCTATATAAATCCTGTATAATTGCAAGAAATATACAGCTAGATTAAAAAGAATAAATAAGGATTTACTATTTTTCCCCATTTTCCTTGGATAAACAAAACAAAAACCCACAATCAGATCTGTTACAACAGGGGTATTGAATTAAAATTCACAAAAAGGTCCATTCAGTAAAAATTTCTTCCAGCCAAGGTCTGAATCACGTTTGTGCTACAAGTCAGGTCCTTCACATCACAGCCCCACCTCTTCTTAGACTAGGTTCATATATCTGTGGCTGGGAAACGTGCAAAATTGCACGTGTTTCTGACCCGAAGAAATGTGCCGCACTTTGGCAGATGCGGGGGTGGGTGGGGGTGCCATTAATTCCTATAAGGGAATTCCTGTACGGCAACTGGCTAATAGAAATGAGCATAGGCTCGCGCATGTGCACACATGGGTTCACACACACGGGAGCGTGCCCACTGTTTCTGGCGCCAGACTATTTAAAGGAGGCTCTTACTCACTGTCAGTGCTGACTGGTCTTCAGCTAACTTCCTGTTTCCTGCTGTATCCTGTGTGTATCAGTTACTGAACCGGCTTGCCATCGAGCTGCTCTTGGATCCCGTTTATGCTTCTTCTCATCAGTTTCTGATCCTGGCCTCCTCCTGACTTGTCCCTGTCTGATGTTTCGGTACCTCATCGCCTGCTTGTTGCTGACCCTGGCTATTACTCTGACTACGCTTCTGGCTCCAGTTTGGCTCTAGAGTCCTGCCGAGTGCTTGTCCTGGCTGTCATTACATCAGCTCCGGTTGTCACGGTTTGTTCCGGTCTCACGCTTATCAGAAGTTCCAGTAAGCCACGTACCCAGATCTTGAAGTTCCAGTGGAGTGCTTCCTTAACCTCAGCTGGCCATTCCAGTATCTCCTCTGTTCCTGACTGGATGCCCTGCGTGATTTACAGATCTCCTGATTGTGGGTTTTTGTTTATCCAAGGAAAACGTGAAAAATTGCAAATCCTTATTTTTTTTTAATCTAGCTGTATATTTCTTGCAATTATACAGGATTTATATAGCGCCAACCATTTGCACAACATTTTACAATGTGAGGGTGAACTGTACCGTCACAATACAAATACAGGAGGAATCAGAGGGCCCTGTTAGAGCTTACAATCTATAACTTGCCACCAAAAAACAACCCAAAATAAGTTCTCCAACTTCTGGCTATAGAAGCGATACCACATACAGTATGTATAGATTTGTTTTATGTACCTGTAGTAGGGTTCTTGTTTTATATACACACACATGCACACACGTGTTCCACAATCAATATCCACAGGCACTCATGTTCCTCCTGTCCCTTGGCACCATCTGTTTCACCTTTAGTGAAGCCTGGGTTGGAGATACAAGAGAGGTTGACCTCGTCAATTCAGACTATCAGGTACGTGACAGTACCAGTCAGCCAGTGATGGAGTCTGAAAGGGAGGCCTCTCTGCTCATTACACTCTGCCAGTCACTGCACTATTCCATGCTGTGCAGGGGCTGCATAAGGAAATTGCTCAATTACATGGCCAGCTGCAGTTCGTGTCAAGCACTTCTTCTGCCTCAAATTCTCAGAGGGTCAGATTCATCTGCACAGGACTATGCTCTGTGCCTTCAATGAACTGCCTCCTCCTCCTGAGCCCAGGGTCACCCTACCTCAGTGTTTCTCAATTCCAGTCCTCATGGACCCCCAACAGGTCATGTTTTCAGGATTTCCATTATTTTGCACAGGTGATTTGATCAGTTTCACTGCCTTAGTAATTACCACAGCTGTTTCATCTGAGGAAAATCCTGAAAACATGACCTGTTGGGGGTCCATGAGGACTGGAGTTGAGAAACACTGCCCTACCTGAACATTTTTCTGGGAAATTCAGGACCTTTCAGAACTGCTGCAAGTTGTACTTCTCTCTTCTGCCTCAAACTCTCTCATCTGAAGAGGTGAAGGTGGGATTCCTCATCTCCCTGCTCCTGGAGGAGCCCCAGGCCTGGGTACATCATCTTCGATAACAACATGACCCTGCTTTGACTTCCGTGAGCTCCTTTTTTCTGGCCATGTCCCAGCTATACGCTGATCCTTTCCGTCAACAAACTGCTGAGACCATGCTGAGCAACTTGCAACAAGGTCAAAGACCAGTGGAGGACTATGTTTCTGACTTTCGTCTATGGAGTGCAGATACTTAGTGGAATAACTCAGCCTTGCGCTTCTAATTTTGTCGTGGTCTGTCTGAACCTATTAAAGATAAATTTGCCAGGGTGGGAACACCCATCTCTTTAGACGATCCATCACAGCATCCTGATCACTTGTCTTTCATGTAGACAGTCTGAAAGAATGAAGAGCCTCTGGCATGCCCCAGCTAATTCCTGGGGTCCACCCGCTGCCTCTATTTTGACCATGTCAAGGGACACTGCAGGCATCAAATCTCAACCCAATTCTCCGAGGCCTTCCGTCTGAACAAGAACGATTACGGCGCTACCGTTGTAACCTCTGCCTCTAGTGTGGGGCTACAGGATACTTTTTGCAAACTTGCCCCAGAAGACGCATTAGATCTTCTCTTCCAAGCCGCATAGTGGCCGCTTTGGACTCTGGTCGAGCTCATACTATTCTGCCAGTTTCCCTTCAGCTACCAGGAAAGACTCTTCCTGTTTCTGCTATTGTGGATTCTGGGGCCTGTAGCCGTTTTGTGGACTCATTTGCTGCCCAACACGAGCTACCTCTCTGTGCCAAGAAGAGTAGTTTCTCAATCCATCTGGCAGATGGTTCCAACATTAAATCTGGGCCATCACTCTAGACTAACTATCCTATGTTCTACAATCTCAGGGCACTGACGCAGACTCTCTCCCTCCTCATAGACCATACGACTGCCCTATTGAGCAGTTACCGGGAGCTGAAATTCCCTTTGGACAATTCTGAGAATGCCTTGGGGGCCATACTGTCACAACGACAGGGAACTAAGTCCTTACTCCATCCTGTCGCATTTTTCTCAAGGAATTCCCCCGGGGAGGAACTATGATGTAGGTGATCGGGAGCGACTTGCCATTAAATCAGCTTTGGAGGAATGGCATTACTTGCTGGAAGGAGCAGCACATCCTGTTCTTGTGTTCACAGATCATAAGGACCTTGAATACTTAAAGGGTAGCTAAACGTCTAAGACCCCACCAAGCCAGATGGGCACTTTTCTTCTCTAGGTTTAATTTCCATATTACATATCAGCCTGGGTCAAAGAATGGGAAGCCTGATGCCCTCTCGTGTAGGTTTCAAGATACTGGAGTGCCTCCTGAACCTGACAATTCTACCTGTTTAGAACTTCTTGTTTTTACAAGCTGATCTCATATCACAGATAGCAGTCCTGGATCATCCCCCACCTCAGGAACTTTGTCTCCAACTCAACTACTTCCACGGTGAGCAGATCTTTGTACCAGATCAATTTCAAACAGCAATTCTTTGTGTGTCACAATCATCCTCCGGCAGGTCATTTTGGAGTTCATAAAAGACTTTACATCTAATTCTTCACTCATTTTGGTGGCCAGACCTGATGCAAGATTGCAGGGACTATGTTAAATCATGCAGTTTTCTTTCAAAGAAAGACATTAAAATGAATGGGCTGTACTACCTGTGACATGCAAACGTGAATGCAGATCTGAATCAACCCTTATATATGACAATCCTGTTCTTACTTCAGCATCCTCAGTCCCCCTTCACATCACTGTCACCCCTCAAAATCCCTCCTTCACATTACTGTCCTTTGCCCTCCTGTACTATCCTCAGTCCCCCTTTATGAATGGTCCTGAGCCCCTCCATTAGTTTTCAGTGGTCCCACATCCTCATCCCCCCTTGACATCCATCCTCCTCTGTCTATGGTAGGGGGTGGAGGGATAGCAGGTTTGGCCAGAGGGTGAGAGCTGCAAGCTGGTGATTGGCTGCTAATACCTCCTAGCAACTGATCTCCTGCTTGTTAAACTCTTGGCGCCAGCCAAACGCAAATGTGCGGCCTCCTGGTGTCTGGGCCTAGATGCCACACATTTGCGGTCTATTAAAAAAAAAAAAAAAAAAAAAAAAAAAAAACAAAAAAAAAACAAACCACGTGCTGAGAGCGCTCGCTCTGCACGCTCCCAGCACACTTGTCCGGTACTCACGGAAAGGTCCCGATCTCCTCTTTTGATTGGGACCTTTCCCGATCATGTGACCGCCGTGTCACATGACCCTAAACCCCGCTTCCTGAAACCCTTAAAAAGGGTTAACATGGGCAGCCCCCCGGCCTTAATTCAGAGCTGTCCCACCTCCCGCTTTTGGTTCCGAGAATGAAAGCAGTGACAGCTCTGGGCAGAGCAGCTCCTAAATGGCGGACATCGACATTGACTCGGTCCAGAAACAGCCCGCCATTTAGTGATGCCACAATATGCCACCAAATCAAAGCCCAATTTGTCTTGAAAAAAAAAAAAAAAAAACCAAGTAATTCACCTGGATACACAAAGTAGTTGTGATCATATAAACAGTTTTACGAACATCAAATTTCCAAAATTGGGTATGGGTGTTTGGGTTCTACCCTCAGTCATGAAGGGGTTAAACAATGCCTGTGTGAGGGTCCATATGGTGCATGCATACTTTCAGAACAATTCAATGCACAAAGGAGGGTTTTCTAGAAATCTGTACATTCTTGCATTTAATAAAATTTATATAAAAACTTACACATTTTTTGCAAAGCGGGGGAGGAATGATGTACATATGGCATCAACAGTTTCATGTAGGGCTCTTTTTACAGTTGCAATAGGTGTTGCTGGCACAAAAATACACATTACCAGAGTGGTGTTCCATGCTTTGAACCACAGGTTTTAGGAATCGGCCACGTGTACAAACCCTGAACACTGCTACGCACATTTAGCTCTGTAGCAGCTTTTAGAATTGAACTGCTTTATACCACTACATCAAACCATCATGAATCAGAATATTTCTTGCTGCCATACATTTTATATACATATAATGCAGTTTTTGCCAAGTAGTAAGGCTAGGTCATAATGGAGAGACAATCTCTCACCTCTGCTTCACTGGTTTTCTTTGTTCCAAATTCCTTCTTGAAGGAGTTTTGCACTATGGAGGAAAAAAAAAAAAAAAAAAAAACAAAAACACCACACGCAAACCACTAATGATGTAGCATGTAATGACACAGACAGTGCTTCATCCACATCAGGTATTGTGCTGTAGGAGGAAGGAGCAACAGAACAATTGAGGATACCCTCCCTGTCACTTTGCTTTAAACTGGCAGTAGGCATACTGTAGATTTGGATACTGTAGGGAATGTTTTTCCCTCAGGCACAATCCTACCAGAGCACAGAAATCTTCTAACCTAAAAAAAAAAAAAAAAAAAAAAAAAAAAAAACACACTCACAGGTTCTAACCCTTTCACACTAACCGAAGAATTTTTTTTTTTTAAATTTAATAGGTTAGAAAAGGGGAATCAATAGAGTAAAAACAAAACAAAAAAAAAACCCACGATTATCTCAAAAACTTCCACCAAACCCAAACTCTTTAGAAAAAAGGACAAGCACCATAAAAGTTAAGTTGTAGGGAAGAAAAATAAATATAAAAAAACACACAAACCAACACCCCATTGAGGTTTTTACAAATTTATTTAACCTGAAACATCCGCTTTACAATTAAAACTTCTGGAACTGTTTCTTGGTTCCAGCAGCTTTTGTTACTTTCAGGACATTGAATCTGACAGTTTTGCTGAGAGGACGACACTCTCCAACGGTGACAATATCCCCAATCTGTACATCCCTGTTTAATAGAGAAAGAAAAAAAGAAAAAAATAGTTAAGAAGCACAGAATGAAGGTAAACCAAATAAATGAATGTACATACCAAGACAAAATAAAAAGCCCAAATATGAAGTTAGTGAGAGTAGCAATTAATCTGTTCCATTTTCGATCCTACACTATTAAAAAAAGTCAACATTTGAACAGGTTAATACTGGCAATACCTCTGGCCTTTGTATAAATTAGAACAAACCGTTCAAATTGCAAGTTATAGTGGTAACATTTATAAACCTAGCTAAAAACTAGTTTTTCCCCATAAAAACACCAAGATTTCAGTGGAAACCTTCCAAGACACCAAGATAAAAGCTGCCGTCCTCTTGATTCATGACCAGTATGCCAAATCCAATTCATCTTCAATGTGTGATATCAGTGACTCCAGACTAGTAATCAGCCATGGTTAGGAAGTATCTTCCATCACAAGCTTCTTACACATGGAGTTTGCTTTTGTGACAGACAAAACTAAAGCACTGAAAGGGATTGAGGAAAATGGACTTGCCACTGGCAGTTTAGTTTAGACATTCTGTCACTTCATGATTTTAACCTATAATGATGCTGGACTAAAAACATGGGCGTGCAAAGCAACCTGCCAGGTAGACTGACTCTCTGCAGGCTTTAGACTCCATTCACAATACAAGGTTAGGGATCCTAATTTTAGCCATGTGGCTATCCAAATATCACTAGATTCTGATGGAAATATGCTCCGATCCCTGGTGCGTCAGAGCGAAGAGAAGAAACTGAGCAGGTTGGCCATTTATTGCTTGCGAGGTATGTCTTCTCTGCAATAAAAACAAACTTACCTGCCTGTTCACAATTTTTACAATGTACAATGAGCTGCACACACCTGCAGCTCAGGATATAATCTCAGCATAGAGACTGTACAGGGATGAATAAATTCTATGAAAGCATAAAGTTAAGTCGACCCCTACACTGACAAATTAAGATAGCACAGCTGGATTCTAGGTGGGTATATGGCCTGTTTTCCACTTTAAAAGGATAAGTTCACCTTTGTAAAAAAATAAATAAATGCACATCCTTTTGCAAATATATATATATATATATAAATATATATATATACACATATATATATATATATATATATATATATATATATATATATAAAATAGTCTCAAACACACAGAGGCCGCTTGGGAGCACGCATGCACAAGTGCCATCAGAGTATGCAGCTAGCTCTGGGAGCACTCAGCAGGGGAGAGGGGCCAGAAGCCTCAACAGGGGACTCCAAGAGGAGGAGAATCGGGGCTGCTCTGTGAAAATCCATTGCACAGAGTAAGTATAACTTTTTTTTTTCCTTTAGTATCACTTTAAGACCTGTAAATTGTGAGGTGGGGCCTCCATGGATATGACTTGCTTTTCCAGCACATCCCACAGATGCTCAATTGGATTGAGTCACAAAGCAAACACTTATTCCTCTAACCATTCTTGAACCATTTCCCTGCAGGGTGCATTATCCTGCTCAAAGTTCACTGCCATCAGGGAATACCATTTCCACAAAGGGGTGTACTTGGTCAACAAAGTTTAGGTAGGAGACATCTCAGACAACATCCACATGAATGGGAGAACCCAAAGGTTTCCCAGTAGAACATTGGCCAAAGCATCACACTACCTCCACCAAGCAGCTTGCCTTCTCCCCATACTGCATCCTGGTACTTTTATTAGACAGCAAAGTTGGAAAGACACACATCACCAGATGAATATAAGGGGAAGTCTTAAAAAACAAAAACCAATGCAGCCACTACATAACTGGTAAGCTGCAATAAATGTGTTTAAAATTGCTTTAAATATAAGTGCCACTCTGCCAGGGAAAAAAACTACAGGCATGAGCATCTGAAAGCAATTTCTTACCCAATGGCAAAGAAATGCCTTACAAAATATTTAGGAAAATATAAAAATATTCCTGTTTAGCCAGTTACGCATTTATTAGAAATATTTTTATATACTACCAGATTTAATGTCTGCACACATTGGTCAATCTGGTTATTGCTTCATTTTAGAGAGCTGTAATTCCAACAAATGGAACTTGCTCACTGCAGGATACCTTCCTCGCTGCTGTTTCACTGTTGACCAAGCTGGTACAGCCCTGATTTCAGTGTGTTAAAGAAGGTCAGTACCCAATATGATGCCTGGATAGGAAGACTGTCTGAACAGAATTACACCATACGTGCAGATAATTTCCAGGGAGACACTAGTCCACCTAGGGTGCATATTCCACAGGTGATCTAAACTATGGTGCAATGCAGGCAGGATCTACATGCGATAAACTGTCTATAAATCTTGATGTACAGACCCATTCTGCCATGCAGTTTTCACTAATGGAAACATCAACCAATGTATTTTCTAAGCCAGACTTGACTGCCCAGGTTTTGGGGCAGTTTATTCAAGTCATAAGTTTAAAACCCTGATGAGAAGCAGTCGACCAACAATTGTTCACAGCAGTAGAAAACACCTCTCTCACCTGAAGCAGGGGGACAGATGCACAGACATGTTCTTGTGACGTTTTTCAAAACGGTTGTACTTGCGGATGTAGTGCAAGTAGTCGCGGCGGATAACGATGGTGCGCTGCATCTTCATCTTTGTGACCACACCTGAAAACAAGATGTATTTGATTAAACTGTTAGCACTTCAGTTCCAAATTCAAATGGACAGGCCTAAAGTAAACCATTTTGCATGAATTCTTAAGCTTTTGCAGAAAGTCGGCACAAATTTCTACATTCCAAGATTTATATTTTCAATATTTTAGGTACTACAATATAGAAATGTGTAAATAATGGCCAACGTATGAAAATAATGTATACGTCTAAGAAAAAAGTATTTTCTGGTATTCAGTACAAGACCTTTAAAATGTACTATGGGTTATATGCAGCTACTTTCAAGTTATTGGCAAAAAGCTGCTCTGGACATACCCTTATATAACCCTTCCTACTCCTGGACGGCCTCAATTTTATAGCAAGCAATAGGGAGATGAGAGGGATGGATCCTGCGTCCTACACTGCACTCCCAAGAAAAAAAAAAAAAAATTTTTACTTGTAAAACACAAATTCTATTTTCTTTGTTGTACAGTACACGGGAGTTTTAGCTTTTACCATAAGACATCCAAGAGCAGCCTGGAGGGTGTGGGCAACACAGCAAACAAACATCAACAGGTCCATGTAACATATGTGTAAAAAACACTACTATTCCCAACTATTTTATAAGCACACTTCACCTCTACCCTTAAAGGTGTACAATTATAAATACAAATATGCTCGGTGATCACTACTAAAATACTTTTCTTATATGATCTCACATCTATAAATAAAGTCCAATTTTGAATTAAAGTCCCAAAAAGCAAATGCGTGTAGTTTGAAAAAATTGTTTCCAATATAAACCAACGAAAACTCTCCACTGCTTGTAAACCTTGATTACCTCAAAAAAACAAAAAAAGATTCACATAGTGCATTATCCTTTATAAAAATCTCATTAACCTATAAGGTTAATACAATCTTATTCACCCAAGTGAAAAACACGTGTATATATCCAAAACACATACACATGTGATATACTGTGCAAAACCATGCATGTGACACACTCTGCTGTGCTGCAAACTCTTAACACAGTGCACACTTCTATTGGGGTAAGGAATATATACCCTTATCAATATTTAAGACAATATATGTTTTATTATCTTAATCCACAGAAAATTTCTCTGGTAGTATAGATCTTTGTATGGATATCCTCCGGATTAGCTTTATATGGATCCTTCCACCCTAGTAGCTTGGAGATACTTTCACCATATACATCAGCCCGGTTTCCATATATAAGGAACAGATCATAGCGTAATACTGCCACATACTTTGATCAAAAAACTTTTAATTATCTTGCTTACATTTAAAATCATCTTTAATCGCACATAGTAAAAAACCTGTCTGCCATCCGGAATCCAGGAGAGTCCCAATCGCAACTCGCAGCCGAGATTTTGCCCTCTCCAAGATGGCCGCCACTCTACTTCCGGAATTTTCGTATGCGTCTAACGTCACCTCCCTTTGACGCGTTTCGTCATTGGACGTAATCATAAAGGGTACGTACAGACAAGGAAGTTCTATTTATATTCCTCCCTCATAAGGTGATGTCGCCTCAATCTCCATCTTTCTAAGGGGCGATGCCCTCACCTTCCGGGATACGAAGCAGTGTACAAATGCCGGAAAAGTCGTATCTAATAAAGTCTTGGCGCCACATAGGTCCATGTAACAAATGGGTCAAGGAATGCTTGAAAGACCTCAGAGCAGCTTGCAGCACTTTACACCCTAAAATGGCATCAGATGAGGCCTTAACATCCATCTCGCAAAATGTAAACGTGTTAAGAGCCTTGTAAATCTAAGAAACACAGAGACCTGATGCTGAAAAGACAATGAAGCACTGGTAGAGGGCTTAAAACAAGAAAGGGAGAAACCCTTTCGAGTAGACCTTATGCTCGTATTATTCTACCTTGCAATGGTGGCACCAGAAGCAGGAAGCCCGCTGTGGGAACCCCTGAGAAGCACAAAGAGGAAATGATTGACTGCTTAACAGAGGCTGTAGTCAAGATATTGACCAACAGTGCGTAATACATCAAGACAGCGAAGAGAAATTTCACTTGGGTGTTTTCCAGCCGGACATAAGGACAATACCCTGCTTGAGGTGGAAAGAAGTCACCTTTAAGGACAGAGGCTTTAGGCTTCAAGCAACTTTATCCCGTCAAGTGCTCTATTTCTGGTGCCTCAAAAGGACAAGGGCAACCAACGCAGACTCTCTGTACCAAAGCGATAGCAACGGGGAAGCCCATGTTGAAAGTTCAGTTAAGGAAATACCCCTAATCAGTTTCAAAGGTGACCGAGGAGCCAAAAGAACAAGGTTATAGTACCATGGAGATACAGGAAGAGATGTTCCTGCAAAGAAGCCTAAACTAGGGAATAACAGGCTAACAGCCTCTGAAACATAAGTTTGCCCTTTTGTATTACTCAAAGCCAGATGCTGATCTGGACCAGACATGTAGAAGGACAGACATGCCCCATGGCGTACTTTCTAGAATTAAATTTGTCAATCTCATATCAAGAATATAGGCCTTCCAGGTGATGGAAGACTTTGTAAGGCGGCTTCCTAGCTTTCACAAGGGTAGGATGGCCAAATCCCATAGTTGCCCAGAAAAGAAGGCTTGGGTGACCTGGGATGGCCCGGAGTACTACATATGTCCAAGTACCATGTTCTCCTGGGCCCATTTGGTGCAATGACAATTACTGGATTGGCCCTGCTGAGCAGACAAGGAAGAATCTGGAAGGATGGAAAGGTGTAGATCAGGCTAAGTGGACAAAAAAGCTGGAGGGGTCCCTGGACCTTTAGCCAGAGGCCATCCAGGTAAACCACAACAGGAACCTCTTGAGCACACAGCACAGCCAAGACAGGGAAGCATGTGTGTGAAAAAGCAACAACTAGTAATGCTGACCATCCACCACAAAATGAAGATAGTGTTGATGGGGAGGAAAGATAGAATGTACACCCCGAATGACTACCGAAATCAGAAAGAGGAACACAACTGACCTGCCAGTTTCCATGCAGAACTTCTGAACACCAAGGTACAATTTAGGAGTTCTTAGATCCAGAATTGGCTTGACTATCCTGGTTATTGAGGTTCAAGTAGAAGTTTTGAAAGCATAGCTCATTTGGTACAGAAATGCCAACCTTTTGAGACAGAAGCTGCTGAGCAACACCAAGAAAATCCAACTGCCTTTGTGGGAAGAGAGGCAAGTTTGAAAGCATGAACTGGGGAGGAGGCAGAGTGCAAACTTCAAGTATGTAACCCCTGGAAATAACCCCCTCGACCCAAGTGCCTGAGACGTCCTGGGACAAGGAGACATCCCGTACACTGACAAGTGGTGGTTCCCCATCCCTGCGAAGAGGGCTTGAAACCTGCCTGTTTTTTGTACGGCCACAGCCCTTTCTAAAAGTATGTTCCTGGCTAAAGATTTGGAACAGAAAGTCAGAGGGATGAAAGGAAGCCTTATTCTCAGGGATAGTATTTCTACCCCGTGATCTCCTTGAGGTACTCATCCAAGAAAGGGGTCAAACAGCCATTCATCTTCAAAGTTTCTTGCATGGGAGCTCAGCTGACCAGCATTTAAGCCAAATGATCTCGTACATATATATGGAGAGAAGATTCTCTCTGGGAGTGAAAGGTTATTACAAGGGATGTACCAGCAGCTCTTTTTCCCAGGGTCCAGTCACCTGAAGGCAGCTGCATATAACACATGGTGAAGACTAAGGATATTGTGTTCTACACTGTAAGGCGAAAGATGGCCACAGATGGATTAAAACTTGAATGGATCAGTAGGGAACAGCAGAAATTCAAGAAATATGTGGCCATCTTTGACAGAAGTTGATCGTATGTTGGAAGGCGTCTTGATCAGCAGCTGTAGCTGCTGCTCAACCTATTCTAACAGCAGAGCCCCGCTGTCTAAATACAATGTCCTGGTGGGTTGGAGTTGGGCGTTAGTGGATTGTGTGGATGGAGACATAGTTCAGAAAAAAACATCCCATCTATGACCAGTATGAAAGGATGCATTCACCTATTAAAAAAATAAATGCACATTTTTACAGGGGGAAAAAAAAAAAAAAAAAAAAAATGTGCATTAACTATTTGTTTTGGGAGCCTGTAAAGCATTGCACTACCATTCAGCGGATCGCTGGTGCCATGCAGGACTCCTGCAGAGCTGTCACTGTAACTATGTACTCGAATCTCATACAGGCAAGCAGATACACGACAGGAAGAATATATCAAACTACCACAGTGTTCAACAGCGACATGGTAGTTCATTAACTACAACCAACAGCCCCAAAGAATGTTGGAACTTGTAGTTTACCCATTCACAGAATACTGTGAATGAGTGATGTGACTAGAGCCCTGTACGGCCACTTTTCTTTTAAAATTGTGACAGCTAGTGGGGGCAGAAGATCCCCCATTAGCTGTCAACGGGAGACCAGTCCTTTCATAACATGTTACACCCTGAATATGGGTGTATGTTACAAAATGTGAACCTATTCTTTAAGACGTTTTTTCTTCAGCTTCTGATAGAAAAAAAAAAAAAGTGGCTGGATAAGACCCGGTCAAGTTTTCAATCGTGTGCGTTTCTGCTGGAGAGATTTATCCTCTTTATATATCCTGTGACCATTGTAACCAGGAGATAAAAGCACAAGATGAAAAATAAAAAAATGCTGCAACAGGAATTAAGGCAAACCTCTAAAGGAGGGTACCTTTTTCACAATTTCCAGCTAAATTTCAAAAGATTTCCAAGCACTTTCTGTTCTATTTCCAAAATAGAAGTGAGGAGAAATCAAAACCCGACAGATTCCAAATCGCCTTTTAGGGTAAGTTAAAAGAAAGGCCAATACTGGAAAGTTTTCTATGAAAATGTGTACGCAATCTGTGCAAATGAACTATCCTTTTTAATATATTTCTTCTCTTCACATGTGCCACAAGCACCCAATTCGGGTGTTATATTCTCAGCGCAGTTGTATTCTTTATCTTTTCCTTTAGGCTCGGAGCACACCTGGGTGCTTTGATCGCAAGCAGAATCGCTGCAATTCTGCCCACAATTTCAAAAAAAAAAAAAAAAAAAAAAAAAAAAAAAAAAAAAAAAAAGTGGTGCAGTTCTGCTGCAATTGTCGTGGGAAAAATCTCACTGCAATTGTAGCAAAAACATTGTGTGCAGTTGGACGCCAAAATGGAGGAGCTTTTTTGGGTGACGAGCTTCACGTGATCGCATTGCAGCGTGACACACGCAGCAGAACTGGATTTTATGGTTTCATTAACATGAATGGCATCTAAAATTCGTGTTTTGTCATTTTAGCTGTGTTGAAAAATCGTGTCAATTCTGCTTGCGATTCAAAACACTTAGGTATGAACAAAGCCTTAAACTACAAGTATTGTGAGCCAATCACTTGGTGTGGTGACTACAGTGTCAAAGATATTAGCCAAGTCTACTGTATGATTTACTATACAAGCTAATGTACCTATATTTCAAGAGCCTCCATCACTCCTCAATAGGTAGTACTTTTTTTTTTTCTTTAACTCACCCGAAAGAAGAATGCGACCACGAATAGACACATTCCCAGTGAATGGGCATTTCTTGTCAATGTATGTGCCCTCGATTGCCTAAAAGAAACAGATAATCCTGTCAACAAATCAGATTGTTAATTATCTGGTTAGCAACACTGGATGAAATGAATGAAAAGCATTTTCCAACTGTTATTCTAGCATGCATGCTTAGAAAAATAAACTGAAAAACAAGGAGATGCAACTTGCCCCCAAATATGGATTTAAAAAAAAAAAAAAAATTAACCAGTTTGCCATTTGAGTACAGCAAAGTTTCTGCAACTGTTCTGAGTGTTTGTGAATTGTCTGCATTAAACTGAGTCTAATAAAGTTTGCCCATTCATGACAATCTGCTTTTCTGTAAGCCATGGGTGCTCAACCTGTGGCTCCCCAGCTGTTGCAGAACTACAAGTCCCATGAGGCTGAGTTACGAGCACACTTCCCAAAAGTAGAGGCATGATGGGACTCGTAGTTCTGCGACAGCTGGAGGGCCACAGGTTGAGCACCCATCATGTAAGCCAGTGGTCTCCGAACTGTGGCCCGGACGCAGCCCTTTGCTTGCTTTTATCTGGCCCTTGGGGCATTATTTCCTCCACCATTAGCAATGATGGGGCACTAGCCCTCCCACCCACCGATGGGGCACTAGCCCTCCCACCGATGGGGGCCCTCCCACCGATGGGGCACTAGCCCTCCCACCGATGGGGCACTAGCCCTCCCACCGATGGGGCACTAGCCCTCCCACCGATGGGGCACTAGCCCTCCCACCGATGGGGCACTAGCCCTCCCACCGATGGGGCACTAGCCCTCCCACCCGATGGGGCACTAGCCCTCCCACCGATGGGGCACTAGTCCCTTTTTGTAACTAAAAGACAGGCTTCTTCCACCCGCTGGCTTGTACACAAGTTGTGTAACTTTTAGACATTTTCCCAGGCACTCCTAAAGAAACTTCTGGGCACCCTAGTTTGAGAAAGGCTGTTCTAGGATATAGTCGGGTGGGCCCAGGCTCGATACAAGTACTGTAGCAAAGACAAATGTGGGATCTTATTTTTTGTGCTGTTAGTGCCTCTGAATACCTTCAGTGAGCCAGTAATTTCCCCAAGTTTGAAATGCCTATAGACCATTTACTTAAAGGCCAAGTCCAGTGTGTGTGTGGGCAACATTTTCTCCAGCTCCATACCAGTGGGTTCATATCTCTGCACAGACCTGGGGGGGGCTAGAAGAAGAGCCTGCAAGGGCCTGTACAATGCACCAGGGATCCACAGATCTTGGTTGCAGTATTCTGCTAACTCAACGCAAAACATTAATGCACACATTTTAATGCTCGATCTGGGTGCATTTATTTGTTAGCAAATGGTGGACTACGTCTTTGTTCCAAATTAAACTCTAGCATTTTTGTTTTGCTAGCTCAAACATTTTCTTGCCATATCCCCAAATTCCTGTTCAACTTATGCCAGGTCATTCCTGCAAAAAAAAAAAACAAAAAAAAAAAAAAAAAAAAAAAAACGTAGTCTTCACCATGAGGTGCATTTTGCACCTATTTTTCTTATAACCCATGAGCCTCTAGTGGATTATCCTTAGGAATGTTCAAAGAAACCACCACGGAAAAGGGAAACGGTAAGTCCAGCTTGCAGAAAAGCCCCAGTGACCTGATTGCAATGGGAGTGGGTGACTTTCTGGCCACAAAAGGCAACTGGAAAAAAAAAAAAAAAAAATCTTTCGCTTTGGTTTACACCTATGTGCTGCTTTTTAGTGCGTTTTGCAGAAACACTACACTCCATTTGATAGGATTTCTTATGGATCTAGTTCAAACTACACATTTATGGGAAAGGATCAGGGACTTCTTTTCTGCAGCAGTCTGTTTTGCAGATAATAGACTTATACGGTCCAGCACCAAAACCTCAATGCGTTTTAATTTTCTTTTTGGCCCAACGGGAAAGTGTGACAGTTCTGTTCATGTAGTGCGACATTACACTCCTTGGTACTCAAGTCGCTTAAAAGTAGTGCAGGAACCCTTATGTGTCCAAAGGCAACTGCAACCCTAGCCCTTAACCACTTGGCCTCGAGGACCAGGCCATTTTTTGCGTTATGGCGCTGCGTTACTTTAACTGGCGATTGTGCAGTCATGCAACTCTGCACCCAAATAAAAATGTCCCTTTTTTCCCACAAATTGAGCTCTCTTTCGGTGGTATTTGATCACCTTTGCATTTTTTGCACTATACAAAAAAAAAAAGTGCCAATTATGAGAAAAATATATATATTTTTTACTTTTTGCTATTAAACAAGTAAAAAAATAAACAAAAAATAAAATTTCGTCATAAATTTACACCACAATGCAATCCGCTACACGTCTTTGCTAAAATAAAAAAATCCCAATACGTGTAAATTAATTGGTTTACATTAAAGTGTTAGCGTTTACAAATGGCAGTATATATACACTCAAATATTTTTTACTGGCTTTACTAGTAATGGCAGCTATCAGCGACTTATAGCGGGACTGCAGCGGATATTCTGACACTGGGGGGGGGACTGACTTGGTGTCACTGACATTCCCAAGTGACACCAATACAGTGATCAGTGCTAAAAACAAAAAACCACTGACACTGTACTAATGGCACTGGGCAGGAAGGGGTTAACATGAGGGGCGTGCGCTCCCTACCCGGAAATGCAAAACCATTTATATATACACACACACACACACGTGATTTCATGCACCTATGCCGCCCTGTAGCAGTATTTCTGCTATAGGGCAGACGGGAAGCAGTTAAGCCTGACCTGTGACTTTGGACACAAAGGTTCCTGCACTACTTTGATGCTACTTGATGCCAGAGAGTGTAAAATCACACTATATAAAACAGACATACTATTAACCCCCCCCCCCCCCCCAAAAAAACTCATCAAAAAACTTCAAACGTGTTCAAAAACTCGCTGGAAAAATACATTAACCGCAACCTGAATCGACGTGAACCTAGCCTTAGAAAGCAACAGCATTACCTCTCTGGGGGTCTTGAAACCCAAACCAACATTTCTGTAGTATCGTGGGAGCTTCTCTTTGCCGGTCTCCCCAAGAAGCACACGCTTCTTGTTCTGGAAGATAGTTGGCTGCTTCTGATAAGCCCTCTCTGTCTGCAAGAGAAAAATAAAATTATTAGGATGCAGAAAAAAAAAAAAAAACCACACACCTTTTCCTTCATTGGTTCTACAGTTTGGAAATAAGTCATTGTTCCTACCTCACTGATGATGCTGCACTGATAATCAAGGTAGTAATGATCAGTGCCCTAATGATCAAGTGTAAACAACCAGTCACAGAAAAGCTAGTTACGGTCTCTCTTTTCTTCAGACAGTAACAAGCTTGAAAGAAGAAACGTTGATAACTGGCATTTGTTTACATGTGGTCATATGCGATTGGACACAGCTGATCACATGGTAAAGTGCCATAGTCATTGCCTCTTTATCCTGATTGATGATGTGCTGTGTCCAAGGGATACAGCTCACCACCGATCGCTGCACTGCGTCAAGTTTCAGTCTTCATGGGAGAGGTTTTCTTATTCTGGGGTAACATTCCTGTGCAATGTCCTTTTGTCTCTTTTGGTCAGCTGACCAGGTCGACCGCGCTTATGCTCATCAGATGACGTTTTCCTGGAAACTGTATATGCCATCATAACCTGATACTCTACCTTGCAACATGGCAAATAAATTGGCAACTTCAGTCACAGAGGCACCAGCTAAGTGGCACCAACAATTTGCCCTCTTTGAAGAGCAGTAAGTTCTGACATGACTCCGTATTACTAGCATTAAAAGCAGGAAGTGAAGCTTCCCAATGGTTAGCTAGGTGTCTCATCATACAGCAAAAAACAAAAGAATGTCACTCCCGCTTTCAACACAAAACATGTAATCACTTTCACACCTGCAAATCATGTAGTGGTTTCAATTTTTTGTCCAACCCCTATAACTCTTCATGCGATACGAATATACACCTTGTGCTGGACGAATTAAATCTAAACTCTAGGGAGACTGACTTCAAATAGTGTTGTTTTGACCAAACCGGCTTCCTTCACTGATGCAGCAGCTCTCAGCGCTTAACAAACTGTATGTATAACCAGCTATATACAGTATTGTGTTCCAGCAGCAGAATGGCGACTTTCTGTCTCCAGAACAAAGTTGAGTTGGGCCGAGCACTGCTAAGCCATTCATAGGAAGCCCTGGATTTTCAGTAATGTGTACAAGACCTCCGCTGAATGGCCGAGGTGGAGATCATGACATCATTTGACCACCTCTACACCTCAGCCAGAGGAAAAAATTGTATTCATAAAAATACAAAGTTTCCTTTGAATGGCAAAGCAGTGCTCAACATAAACTGTTTTGTTCCAGGAATAGTAAGTTCCCATAATGCTGCTGGAACACAGAACTGTATGCAGTTGAAACATCGCTGACAGTCGATGCATCGATTAGTGAAATAGCTGGGTCCAAACAAACTATTTAAAAGTCATACTACTCCTGGAGTTCAGATTAAAGGCTTTTGCAGTTTTTATATGTGGTGGCTGCAGTTGTTTCCTTTAACGCCGCTGCCATTGTTTTCACTTGGTGATCCTGCCAGTAACAATTCCTGTCCTAAAGTGAAAACACTCACTGTACTGTATCTATGAAGGTGCAGCAGCATCACCCCCGAAGCTCTACTAAATTGGACTACAAAAGACCTCCCCCATTCCTTCTGACAGTGGAAGAAGTGTTTTGTAGTTCACATAAGATTGCGGGGGAAAGCTGATATTCTTTGAAATTTCAGTACAGTGTACAGGAACTAATGAGGTGCTGGAATTTTAGCAGGAACAACAGGCATTTGGAGGTACCTGCTGAAAATGTTTATGTCCTAAAAAAGAAAGCGAGTGCAGCCACCACATCTAAGGACCAGTAAACGGCAATCTACCATTTTATCTGAGGTTTAGATGGAATGTGGTCTAGAGCTGCCAATCTTAAAGCCAACCCGCGCTCCCGCACAGAGGGCACCCCCGCAGAAGACAGCAGGCACCCCCACAGAGGACAGCAGGCACCCCACAGAGGACAGCAGGCACCCCACAGTAGGACAGCAGGCACCCCCACAGAGGACAGCAGGCACCCCCACAGAGGACAGCAGGCACCCCCCCACAGAGGACAGCAGGCACCCCCACAGAGGACAGCAGGCACCCCCACAGAGGACAGCAGGCACCCCCACAGAGGACAGCAGGCACCCCCACAGAGGACAGCAGGCACCCCCACAGAGGACAGCAGGCACCCCCACAGAGGACAGCAGGCACCCCCACAGAGGACAGCAGGCATAGACATAACAGACAGCTACAGTCACGTACAGGAAAAGGTGATCAGCAAAGAACATAATCCATAGACATGACAGAGGAACAGTATTCCTACAGAGGCAAAAGAACAGTAAAAGACATGGCAGAGGTGGTCACCCTCTTGTACAGCAAGCTGGGACCAGCAGCGGACATCAGCAGAGCTTCTATACAGAGAGTGGAGGATAGCATTACACAGGGAGGTCACACTCCTGAACTGAGATCAGTGGAGGATACCAGCACAGGCAGAGAACCGTAAACACATGGCAGAGGTGGTCACCCTTCTGTACAGGAAGAGGGGATCAGGAGAGGAGCACAGACATGGCAGACACAGGGACATGTATGGTTCTCTGTATTATGATTGGTGTTCTTTAGCATGTTGTGTACATCACTATGAAGTGTCGGGGGCGCCGGGCAGTTTGGTTACACATCCCATGTCAGAGTTATAGTGGAACTCCTATATAGCAGATCCCTCCAACTGATCAATTCACGTGTTTACAATAACCTATGGATACAACGGACACCTACTAGGGGCGCCCCAACTTATACAGCTGACAGTACAGTGGTCTGCAGTATGAGAAGACATTGTGAGGGGATCAGCGCCCCCCCAACACAGGAGGGGGATCAACACACAGGAGGGGATCAGCGCTCCCGGTCAGTGGTAGGGATGATGAGAGCCGCGTGCGGGGGGGAGAGTCCAGCACCATCCAGGCCTCATCTGCGGCCTGCACGAGGTCCGGTGCCCGCCCTCCTCCCCCTCGCACAGACCTCACGCCAGGCCCTCACAGTGCCCGAAGCTCCCCCCCCCAGCAGCCGGTGTAATGTCTCCTCCGCTCCCGGCCTCGCCGTCTCTCACGCAGCACCTTTCCACCCGCCTTACGGGCAGAGCCCTCACCTGAATATCCGCCATGTTGGCCTGCCGGGTGAAAAAGAGACAGGAACACGGCCACGGGGTTTCCTAAGGAAGAACGGGGGACGGACGTGACGTCACGGTTTACGGCCACAAACCATTACGCCTGGTGGGCGGGTCCGCTAAGTATGCAAATATCTCTACACGCTTCCTAGATTTGCATACGAGCGCCCCGCCCGGCGTGTGAGAAGAATGTTCCGCCCCTTCTGTGCCTGGAGCGCTTGTGTCAGTCAGCGAAGCCGTGTCACGTGTCTGAGGTTAGCCAATGGCATAGCGCCGCTGAGGAGCACATGGCCAGTGTGGTGTCAATGAGGGGCTGAGAGGAGGCAGAACACCATTGGATAGGGAGGGTGATAGATAACTATGGTGTATGTTCACAGAGCGCAGTGTTATGGTCACGTATATACACTATATTGCCAAAAGTATTGGGACGCCTGCCATTATACACACACATAGACTTTAATGGCATCCCAGTCGTAGCCTGGGGCAGCACAGTGGCTAAATGGTCAGCATTCCCCCTGGCAGTACTAGGGTCGTTGGTTCAAATCACAGCACCACCTGCCTGGAGTCTGCATGTTCTCCCTGTGTCTGTGTGGGCTTCCTCCCCACACTCCAAAGACATGCTAGGAGGTTAATTTGATACTATCTAGATTGGCCCTATATATGTGTATGTGAGATAGGGATCTTAGATTGTACGCCCCTTGAGGGTTAGGGACTGATGTGAATGTACAATATATATGTAAAGCGCTGTGTAAATTGGTGGTGCTATATAAGTACCTCTAATAAATAAATAATAGTCCGTAGGGTTCAATATTGAGTTGGCCCCGCCCTTTGCAGCTATAACAGCTTCAACTCTTCTGGGAAGGCTGTCCACAAGGTTTAGGAGGGTGTCTATGGGAAGGTTTGACCATTCTTCCAGAAGCACATTTGTGAGGTCAGACACTGATGTCGGATGAGGAGGCCTGGCTCACAGTCTCCGCTCTAATTCATCCCAAAGGTGTTCTGTCAGGTTGAGGTCAGGACTCTGTGCAGGCCAGTCAAGTTCATCCACCCCAAACTCACTCATCCATGTCTTTATGGACCTTGCTCTGTGCAAACCAGATTGCAGAATGGTGTGTGAATGCAAGAATCAGATCACATGGGTGTGAACGCCCTTGTGGTTCAATACCGGTGCAGCCAAAAAAACATTTCCTGCACCTTTCTCATGCTGGTGCCGTTTGATTTGAGCCCATACAAAATAAATGGGCTCAAAATGCACTGCAAATAATCACATGTGATTCAAAATGAAATGTGAATGATTCCTGTCTGAATCACATGAGATTTCCTGCATCACTATAGTGTGAATCCATCCATCCATCCATAACTGTATGCCTAACAATGCTAGTGTGTTTACTGTGAGATGCTGTTTCTAAGAATGCTGGTTTTTAATCCCTGCTTTGCACATCCCCGCTGACAGGACAGAGCACTGTGTTGTTTACATTCTGTCCTGTCATTCTGAGTTCTATCCTGTCATCCGCTTCGCCGATCAAGGGGGTCGTTTCCATCAATCATTGGCTGGGACCCGCTGATCGGCTTGTGCTGTAACTAATCACAGCATTGCCGGGGCAGCGCGTGCCCCCCACTCAGAAGAGCTGGATCATCATGTATCTGATACGTGATGCTGCTTTGCGCCGTACATCTAATTGATGCTGTCAGCAAGTGGTTTTAAAGAGGAGCTCCATTTGCTTGTACAAAAAGTCAACGTCTCCTGCTGCTGTGTGAGCCAATGAGGAGAGAGAGACCCAAAAGAGCTGCTGCTGTTAGGAATATCGCTGGATTGAGATAGGGCTCAGGTAAGTATATGGGGGGCTGATGGGGGAGCAGCACACAGAAGGGTTTTTATCTAATGCATAGAATGCATTAAAGTGGTTGTACAGACAGAAGGTTTTTTTCACCTTCATACTTCTATGCATCAAGGTAAAAAACCTTCTGTGTGCAGCTCCCCTCTCAGCCCCCCAATACTCCCTGAGTCGTCCCCCCCCGATCAACCGATGTGCACAAGAGCCTCGGCTGTCCTGGGACTTCTCTCTTCATTGGCTGACACAGCAGTGGGAGCCATTGGACCCCACTGCTGTCAATCACACACAGTGAGCCAAAGAGGAGAGAGTGGGGGAGGGGCCGAGCAACAGCTGTATATATCTTATGAATGGATATAGCGGGAATTGAGGGCAAGCATGCACCAGTGCCCCCACAGCAAGCTGTTTCTATTGTAGGTACTGGTCAAGAGGGAGGAGGCAGGAGTACTGGCAGGGGGAACCCGGAAAGAAGAGGATCGGAGCTGCTCTGTGCAAACCTATTGCACAGAGCAGGTATGTATAATATGTTTGTTTTTGCTTTTTTTTTTAAATAAGCTGAACCTTTAATACCACTTTAAGGTAAAAAAAAAAAAACCTTCTGCCTTTAGAACCACTTTAGCCTGAGTTAGGATTTTATGAGATACTATCAATGTGCCGTTTGGGGCAGAGTGACAGTGACTCTGCAAAGGGACCACCCCAACCCAATTATGACAGCCTTGCCAGTGGTCCTCTGTCAATCATGCCTCTTGCAGCCAGTGACGATACCTGGTGATTCCGGTTATGAGGGAGCATGTGATCTCACCTGTGAGAGTGATCAGGTCCAGGGGCGGACTGACCATTTTGAAACTCGGGCACTGCCCGAGGGCCCGGGGTCAGTAGGGGGCCCCATGAGATGCCTCTGGTACCTTTTCATAGGCTTTTTTGAGTTTGGGCAGGGACACAGGGGCCCCATGATCCCCTATTGCCCGGGGACCCCATGAGTTGTCAGTCCGCCCCTGATCAGGTCTAGTAGCCACTTTCACATGGTGAGTAGTGACATCTCCGCTCCACCAGTCCCCAACACTCCTGATTTTAGTGCTGGCTGTGATGGAGGAAGTAGTGGTGAAGGAGCTTTGGCACCGATGGCAAGGTGAGTTGGGAGAGCCCTTTACAGAAAAACTGTCACTGTGCCCTGAATAGGAAAGGTAACAGTGTCTCTTTGAAGCTGAACTCAAGGTATGTTTTTTTATTGTATAGTTACATTGGTCCAGCTTGGACTAATGGAAATATACACAAGTTCCATGAGCAGGGCCCTCCTATTCTTTTTGTATTGAACTGTGTTGTAATTGTCCCCTATTTATATTGTAAGGTGCTGTGGATATATATATATATATATATATATATATATATATTGTGACAGTGTGGCAATCTGTCACCCAGGTTTCTCAATGAGGCAGGTTGAGGGGCTCCAGGGTAAGTGTTTGATACGGAGGAAAGTGGCTTTTCACTTTCCTCCTTTGTTTGTAAGGTCTGTTTTGGGATCTGGAGCCTGGATATTTCAAAGAGATCTGGGAGGGATGAAATATCCAATCCTGGGACCAGGTTTTGGGAATGGCCAGGAGACTGATTGCACAGGTGTGTGCAGGCCTTTTCATAGAGTCAGGACCAGAGTTCTGGGCTCCACCCCGGCAGATAGGAGTCAGGAGGGATCCACCTGGAAGACAGGAGTCAGGAGGGCTCCACCAAGGAGAAGTGGAAGCCAAAAGCGGCAAGGAGCTGCTTGGGAGTAGCTGTGTGCTAGTGGCTAGCTGTGTGCTAGTGGCTAGCTGTGTGCAAGAGGCATTTTTGAAAGAGTCTGCAGGAGTCAGACGTAAGCCTGAAGAGGAAGGCCAGTGGAAGCTTGTGTATATCTGAGAGCCAGGAGGCTGAATTTTGTTTATGTGGATGATAGATACCCCTGTGTGGGAAACGTCTGATGTTTTGAACTTTCATTTAAATAAAAGTGGGCTAAAAAGGCCTTAAAAAAGAAAGGGAATTGCTGTGTGCATTTAACCAAGCTCTACCATTTGAAGCGAGTTCCCACAATATATATATATATAAATATAATATATCCTTTATAACAATAATACCTGTGGGAATGCTGTGGAAGGGTAGAACCCCAGTGGGGGGCTTCTTCGATTTAGCTGCAGTAGGCAGCCCCAATGAAAGCAATAGGAGACTGCTCACTCCTGCAGCTAAATGCAGACACTCACATGTAATATCTCATGCAGTGATTGTCTTCTTTGTGCCCCATTGACAACATTCCAACAAACTATTCCCAACACACACGTTCCCAAAAAGTGGCTGTATAAATAAGTGGGTGCTTCAGTGACCACTGGCTGGAACCATTGATAGTTTCTGTTGAAACTGTACTGCCCCCCTTTGTAAAGTGCTGCACAAACTTTTCGCTATATAAGTCTTGTATAATAATAATACCCGTGGGAGTACTGTGGAAGCGTAGAATCACTGTAGTAGTCGGCGCTACTACAGTGACTGCCGTAGTCTTCAGTGTCCTGTGCAATAAGAGAGCGCTTTGTCTTCATTGGAAAAATACAGAACGTTCTCTGAAAGGTGGCTGTGCCAGGCCAGCAACCCCCTGTGTTCTCTATGCAGAAGGGCAGTCACTTAGCACAGGAACCTAAAGACCATGGCAATCTCTGTAGTAGCTCTGACTACTACAGTGATTTTCCACTTCCACAGTGGGATCATAGGTATGGAATGTGTATGCTTACATTTGTCCAAACTGAACCAATGTAACTTTGCAATAAAAACCATACCTGGAATTCAGCATTCAATTAAAAGCTGTAAAGGTAAAGTGAGGACTCATTTGCGGATTGCTGGATTGTGAGTGATCAGTCCTAGGTTTCCTTATTGCTAAACGGGATGTTCAGTCAAAATGTCACCCTGAGGTGTAGGAGCTTGACTGGATCATCTATCATTACTGCCCGGAATCTTTCAGTTAAGCACGTACACAGCACACATGGAATTGTATCCAAATGACATGGGGTTAATGTAGGTAAAGGAAGAGGCCTCAGGCAGTAAGGCAGAGGAAAAAGTGAAAACATATTTTATGTTTTTTAACACCAGTTTATTTCATCTTATATTGTGTGTGTTTATCACTATTTTTAGGTCACTAAGGTGAGCCAT